CGGTAGCAGGTGGCGGCGGAGGGGCATCTGAGATGCTGGGGGCGGCCCCGGGCGAGTGCGGCTCAGCTGGTGCCGGGGCTTGTCCCTTCTCCCCGGCGGTGAAGCCCGCATCCTGGGTCCGGCCGGGGGCAGATGTGCCCTGCAGCCGCCACCAGCCTCCTCTGCGGCGTGCCCCGCTGTACCCTGAGCGCGTCCTGTAGCTAAGGTCGGCGAGGGTCAGTGGTCGGATGGGGACTTGTGTGGTAGTGGGAGCCCTGCCTGCGAGGTGAGGCTGTAGGGTAGGGAGGGAGGGCTCTCTTGGTCCTGATCTTGTGTTGAGACTAAGGGGGTGCGTGTACGGAAGCTCTCTTAGTCCTAATCTGGTGCTGGGGACCTGTGTCATGCCTGTTTCTTACCCAGCAGTGGGAATGGGGCTCTGGGGAGTGATACATATTGTTGCTTAATAAATCATTGGGTTGCAGAGAGCCCCCAGCCCCCTAGGTGCAGCACCAAACCTAAACTCTTGGCAGCCGCAGTTGAACTTTATAGATAATGGTAATAATAATTAAAGAATTACCATTTTTGGGGACCCTTTCTGTCTGGGCCCTGGGCAGCTGTCCAGTTCACCCATGTCTGTGTTCAGCCTTGCCCTAGTGCTGTACTTGGCAAGAAAGAAGGAGCCTGGCTCTGTCACCGGTTATGTTTATGGACTTAAACAGATCCCAGCTCCTCTCCAGGCTGCAGTTGTCCCCACCCATAAAGTGGGGGTAATGGTACTTGCTTAATTTCCAAAAAGCTAGTTCATTGCACTGTGTTTACAATCCTTTGAAAATGGAAAATGTATCATGTATGTTATCGTGTATATTATTATGTATGTTATCATATTTATAGTGGCCAGTCAGGGTCCCATATCACTACTTGCAGGAGCTGAAGGTGTTGCTTTGAAATCCTGGCTGCATTTCATTTCAGGGTAATTATTTTCTGCCTATTGAAATTCCTTCTGCAGTTTCACTCTGGCCCTTAAAGGTACTGCACTGTGTGGCTGAGGCAGGCCGTGTGCTGCACCCCAGAAGCATCCACATTCTGGAGCGGCTGGGCAAAGCAACTCTGTAATAGAAGCACACGCGTCATTTCGGTGCATTCACAAGGCCCTTTGGCATAAAAAAACACTGTATAAGTCTCGGGTATTTTTAGCAGCAGAGGCGGGTGACATCTGCGGGGGTGGGCAGAACTGACAGGTACCATCGAGGTGATAGGCATGGCAGAAACTTACAGGAGGAGAGGAAGATAACTCCAAAAGGGGCTTCCCCAGATGGTGAGGCTTGGGTAGCTTTGCTAAGGCCTGCGTTGTTGTTGTTTGGGTGACCATGGGACCCAGAAGCTCTGTTGTGTTGGGTGCTGCACAGACTGACTGAGAAGCAGGTCTTGTCCTGGAGAGCTTATACATCGGAGAGCAGGAGAGCACAGGAACAGCATTCAGCACTCCTAACCTAGCTAGATTTTCAAAATGGCTCAGTACCCACCGTGCCGCCTTGGTTTGCACCTGATGACAGAACCACAGACTTATCACTAGTCCAGTGTGGTCAAGCGAAGTCTCATTTTTGTGGACTGCTTCTGCAACAATGTGTGCAACTCTGTCATCTCTCTCTTCCCATCACACATTAGACCTTGTTCTGCTTCCAGATCCAGCCTTGCTGGAGCACCCACTGCAATACCACACTTCCTTCCTGTCTGCAACACAGCTGGCAGTTGCACGGGGCTGCAAGGCATTGGGTGACTCTGCTACATTGGCCACCAGGAAGTAGGAGCAACATGCCCCTTTTGCAGCGAGTCTGGGCTGAGGGGAGCCAGGCTGGCTGTCAGAACAGTTTCCGTGTGGAGAACCAGGTGATGCCACGAGTTGCCCAGGCCTTAAACGTCACACTGAGCCTTTGCTTATGCTGGAGCTGTGCCAGTTGGGTGAGGGAGGTTCATTCATAGCCCATGAGGCCCACTTGGCACAAAGCTGCAGCTGTGCTCGCAGCTGGGATGTCATTTCTAAGCTGGCGGTGGTGGGGCTTAGCAGGTTACCCCAAGTTTTGTGGGGAGGCAGGGAATCTTTCCTTATGAACAGCACCCACAGTTGCTGAGTCACAGCTACCTGCTGTGGGGTATCGGCAGTACAGCGAGACACGGGGTGGGTGGGGGTGGTTAATGCACTTTGAACTCCCTGCCACGGAGCTGCCAGGTAATTGACTGCCAGGGGAATAGCAGGTGTTGGAAAAGGTGGTGAGGTAACACTGTGTGGTTGGCTCCTCTGCACTCTGGCAGAAGGGTCTGGCCTCTTTGAATAACCCCTGCCAGTCTTCCTCCCGAAAGATCCCCGCAGACTTCTTCTGGGGGGCAGTGGGGTGTAAGTTCACAGTTGCACAGAGGGGGTCCCCATTTCAGATGGGAAAGCTATGGCACAGAGATGGGAAAAGAGCTTGTCTGAGGAGTAAGAGGTTGGACAGACATTGGTCAGGGATAATCTAGGACTAGCTCTATGCCTATGCTATGATATAGGTATTTCCCATGCATTTGGGCTTTGCTTTCCCGTGCCACATGGTGCCAGGAAGGAATCCTCCTCCCCCCCCCTTTTCCCTGTTGTACATGTCATAGAGGGGTTTTTTTTTTATTTGCCTTTCCCAGAAATATTGGTTGATTTTGACTGGGATGTGCCAGTGTTCCTGATGTGACTGAAATCCAGAGGTTCCTGGCTAGAGGGTCTTGCCCCACCACTCAGGGTCAGACTGATCACATTTAGGGTCAGGAAGGCATTGCAGAGTGGTATGGGCTGTGGTAGTTACTGCTTTTCTCTGTAATACAGAGCAGTGTGGGGTGGGGGGGCACGGACCCTCTTCTTTGGATCTCTTGAGTGTATTTAGCAACCCTTGCAGCAGCAGGACACTGACAGCCTTTGCCCTCCTGCTTTATCTATGGCATGTTAGGATGCTATTCCATGTAGTTATGTGACAGGGTTGATTATGTAGTTTTAGTAATAGATTAGGTGAGGATTTGTATAGGATGGTTTGGATAAGGATGATCCTGCCTCAGGCAGGCGGCTGGCCTTGATGACCTCTAGAGGTCCCTTCCAGCTCTACTTTTCTATGATTCAGTGGCAGAGCTTGGATGAGAACTCAGGAGTCCTGGCTGTCATAGCTTCCCCCCTCCTCCCCCCCAACCTCAGAGAGACTCCTGTGGTTTCTGAAGACTGACCTGAATTTACAAATGTGCACGTGTTGCCCTATCTGGATAAATCACATTAAAAAAAACAATAAGCCTTCCTGTCAACAGAGGCGTGCTCTGAAAATGTCACTTTTAAGCCAGCTTGAATTGCATCTGAGTCTGTGATCAGGTTTCGCTGGGATGTCGTGGCTGAGAAGTTAGTTGCTAGGGAGCATGGCTGAGAAGCTGTGACAGTCATCGGGAGATTTTGGGGTAGGGGAGAGATGGTGAACCTGCTAGCTCCTTTCCCTTCCAACTACAGAGCTTATGGTTGACTTCAGTGACAGCCTGATGGGGGAGTGTTTTGGGACTCAGGATGCCCGGGGTCCTGTTCCTGGCTTTGCCACTGAACAGCAGAGCACGGTTGGGTAGATCTCATCCCCTCCCATCCTTATCTGTCTGTTCAGCTGTGCAAGGCAGAGACTTCCTCTCTCTCATGTATGTACAGCACCTAGCACAGTGAATTCTGTAGGCTATAATGCAAATAATAAAGACCACAGCTTTCCTTGCCTTGAAAGGAAAGTGGAAAAAAGAGACTGGGCAAGAAAGAGAGAGAAGGAATGGAAGAGTCAAGTGTGAAGAGGAGGAACCAGGAGCTTGGACCAAGGTGGATTTGTGTCCTTCCTGGATCTCTGCCTGGTGTCCTGCCAAACTGACTGGGAGGGTGTGACAGCCCTGGGCTTTCTGCTGGGCAGAGGGGGAAGCCATGATGATTCCCTGGCTGAGAAGTGGTGGGGATAGGGGCATGCAGGTGTCAGGGCTGCAGCTGGGAGGCAGCTGACAAGTGTTGTCATTCAAGAGGGAGAGGGGGGAGTAGGAGGGGAGAAGCTGGAGCAGCCACAGAAGAAAGAACATGGGGGAATGAGGGCCTGGGGACTGTGACTGCTGGAGGGAGGATAAGGGCCTAGGTTAGACGGAGTGTTTGGCCTCTTCAGTCATAATTTGCCCCTGAGAAGCATCTGGCACAGGGAAAAGGCATCTCAAAGAGGCTTGTCTCTTGCCACCAGCAAATCCAGGGCTTTCCCTCTTTTCTCTCCTTTCTCCCTTCCCTGTTTCCTCCCCCTCCCCCCCTTTAACTTTGCCCATGCTTTGTGGTGGTAATAGACCCTGGCCCCTACACCCACACACTGGCTTGCTAGAGTAGTCAGAGCAGGAGCTTGAAGCAGGAGTCTCCTGAGCTCTGTGCCCTGCTCTGGGTGGGGAAGGTGGTTCAGGAGGAAGGTAGAGACTGTGTCGTATGTGCACATACAACACCTAGCCCAACGGGTTCTCTGGGAGCCAGACCTGGGATCTGTTTCTAGCTCTAAGAAGAAAGTGCTATGGGCAGCAGGCTGGGCACCAGGAGTCCTGGGTTCTTTTTTGGTTGCACCACTGATAGACTATACAGTCTTGGCTAGGATTGCTTCCTGTGTCCCTGTTGTGAATGTGATGCCTGCCTTTGTGGGCACCTGGAGGCCTTTACATGCAGCCTAGCATCAGCTCATAGCATTGCCAACTCTTGTGGGGAGGAGTGTCAAGTGCTGAAGGGGTTAAGCCTTCTGGAGCCTTGTGACTATGAATGACCTGGCTTAGCAGAGAGGTGGGGAAGAGCTGAGGAGCTCCAGCAGGCTGGTGACAGAGACAGCTTAGATTTGTTTGCCAAGGGAGGAGACAAAGGGATCATGCAAACAGAGGTGTGGAGCAGGGTAGTGCCCAGCAGCACCAGGCAGGGGGTGGGGGGGGCATGTTGAGTTGCAGCTGGAGGGGCTGTCAAATAGGGCAGGAGAGGGAAAGCCATGCCCCATTGCACACTGAGCACCCCCTGCTGACTGCCCCTGCCATGCACCCCCACAGGTACTGCTTGTCTGTCAGCAACAGTCCTGTTTGGCCTCTGCAGGGTTGTTAGCAGGGATCGACATGCACATGGTGCTGCTTTTCCTTAAGGTCCCCCCCATGGGGTGCAATCAGTGGCACTGGCTATTGAGACCACTGGCCACTGGGATCTGGAGGGGGGTGGAGATAAAGGGACAGGATATGCCCAGCCATCTAAGACATCCTTGCATCTGCCAGCTCTTCCCCCTGGCACGGGGAGGGGGGGGGGTGTTGGGGCAGGGCTCTGTACCCATAGAGAAGGAAAGCTCAGTAGAGGTGGGGAGAGGGGTGTTGCTGATGTCACATCTCTGGGCTGAGCAGGCTTTGTGTAGGCTTCACAGGCATCACACCTCATCCTGCACTGTGCAGGGCAGGGAGGGGGCAAAGCCCATCTTGGCTCATAAAAGGAAATAGCAAAGAGGATGCTCACACAGAGCTGAATGGCTACAAAACAGAAACCCCCAGGGCTTGGCTAGCAGAGAAGAAACATCTGCTTAGATATGGGGAAACACAGGCCAAAGGTAGATTGGCTGAACCTCCTGCCCAAAGGGGCATGACCCAGCCGGGCACCCTTCTACCTCCTGCCTTCTCCCCTTGTCCTCTGGTCACCTGAGCAGCCCCCTCCCCTAACGCAGGCTTGACACCATCGGAAGGAGGCTGCCAGGGGCTGGGACCATGGCGGGGGTTAATGTGGGAGCCCTTCAGACTTGGCAGAGGTGAGTCCTACCAAAGGAGGAGGGGGAGGAGTCTAATTCTGGTTTGGCAAGGTGGGCATATGACCTTATTCTGTGTTCCTGACTGTCTGCCAGCTGAGGGTGCCTCCTGGCTAGGTCTGAACAAAGGATGGAAGATGCTTTATAAGATGTGCAGAGCTCTGTTTTGGTGGGCATAGGAGAGAATCCAGATCTCTCGCCCACCTGGAGAATCTCCGTTCCTGGGCTGGTGGGCCAGATTCTGCAGGTGCTTAGCACCTCCAGTGATGTGCTGAGAACCCATAGCCCCTATAGAGTCATGCCCTTCAGGGGGGCTCAGGCTTCAGCCCTTTCTAGACTGTTGGGAAAGGGAGTTGCCCGTGATGGGGTTTCTAGTTTGGAAGCTCTTCTCCCAGCTCTAACTTCCCTCCTGTTCATCGACTGAGTCTCGTTCTCATCCATGATGCACATCACAGAGGGTCTCTGGACACCTGTGCTTGCTCTGGTTGCTGCTATCTTTGGGTGCTTGTACACATGACAGGGATTTTGTCTCCTAAATTGAAATGATGGGTTTTTAATTGTGATGATTTAAAAACCCACCGTTTCAATTTAGGGGCTTCCATCACTCATACAGTGAGGGGCCTGATCCTTTTTTTTTTTTTTTTTTCCGTGGAGACTGACCACCTCTCCTGTGGCCAGGGGGTGAGCTGCCAGTGGACTGAGTGGTCCCTGAGCTGCAGGGGCCCCCAGTCCTTCCTGGGTTCCTCCGCAGAGGGAAGGACCGGCCCTTCCCACATCTTGGGGCTCACCAGCAGCTTGTTTCCCACTGTGAGAGAGGTGGACAGGCTGGTGCGGGGGAAGGGAAGGGAAGGGATCAGGCCCTTTGCTGCTTTTTTTTTTTTTTTTCCTGGCAGGGCCTGCCCACAGTTGAGCTGGGTACACCACCCCTTCCCTCTCCAGCAGCAGCGCACTCTGGGGCTGCCCAGGCAGGGTGCTAGCAGGCCAGGGCTGCCCCATCTCAGAGGCAGCACCCCGTCAGATCCAACTCTTCCTCAAACCTGCCGGTGAGTGGGCAGGCTCAGGGAAGAGTTGGATCTGGTGGGGTGTTGCCTCCGAAGTGGGGCAGCCCCTGGTCCACTAGTAGCCCACCTGGGCAGCCCCAGGGGGCACTGCTGCCTTGGAGGGAAGGACTGGGGTCCCTGCAGCTCAGGGGCTGCTTGGCCTGCTGGCAGCTAGCCCCCCGGCTGTGGGAGACCGGTAGGCTCTGCGTTTTGGGGGTGGGGGAGAATCGGGCCACTTGCCACTTCTGCCTTCAGCCTGCCTTTCTTGCAGTGGGGAAGGGACCTATCAAAAGGCTGCAAGGTTACAAATAGCTATGGGTCCAAAGTAAACTACGTGCGAATGTGGTTTAGTTTGCAATGTAACACAAACTCATTTAAATCAGAAAAAAACCCCATACGCGTACAGCGTGAGGCAATTAAACTGCAAAAGCAGGCAATTTTCGTCATGTCTACAAGCACCCTTTTAGTCTAGTTCAAAAGTCTCTAGTGAGGGAACCTCCCTTCACATGGATGCTAATGGAGCTCAGGCAGCTTTCCCTTCCCACATCATCCTTCAGCCCAAGCAATCCTAGACAGAGAAGCTACTTCAGAGCTGCTACATTACTCAGCAGTGGGGGAGAGCTCTTAGGGGGTTGGAACAGGCCTTCTGGGGACATGAGAGAAACCCTATCACTAGGGAACATGTACTGCTGCACTGACCAAAGGGGCAGAGGGTGTGCTGTGAGGAGCAAGCCTCCCTTGGTAGAAAGGGCCCTTCTTTATCTCTCTTTTGTGATTCCAGTAGTGTAACTGAAGGGTGGAAGTGTGAGAAGTACCAGCCCTGGGGGCTAGCGTAGATGAGCCCCTGGAATGGTGCCTCCCCGAGTCTTTGTCATGGCAGGAGCATGCCCAACCTGCCTGGCATAGGAGTCCCCAGGGTACGTAAGACTGATCACTACCCTCCCCCTCTACACCCCTACTCCCTTGCACTCACCACTACCACCCCCAGGGCACAGGGGAGTATAGATGAGGGTACAAAACTGGTGTAGTTACACCTTGCATGCCCCTGTGGGATATGAAAGGCTCTGATGTTCTAGTGGAGAACGAGTTCTAGTGGAGAACGAATACAGCCCAGCTTGGAGTACGTTTATGGGGAAAAGAAAGATGCTTGTGGGTCTACTCCTCAATCCAGTTGGCCTCCGTGGGGAGACGCTGCTTAGCATCACTTGTGGATCTTTTCCACTGACTGAAACAGAGCGAGTCTGAGAGTAAAGGATGGTCCCAGGTGTTAACCACAGTGCAAGTCCCTGCATGGCCATGGGATTCTTATGTTACCCGGGAATTGTTCCTTAGGGCAGCAGTTTTCAACCAGGGATCTGCAGCTCCCTGGGGCAGGCTTCAGGGGGTCTGCCCAGCACAGGGAGAAGCTGCCTTGGCCCCCCCGGGGCTGAGGTGAGTCAAGGAAGGGGCAGGGGCGGGCCTGGCTCCACAGCCTCCATATGTGGTTGGCACTGCAGGGGGGCAGGTGAGGCGCCGCACTGCTGCTACTCAGGTGAGCAGGGCCCCAGAGCTAAGTGGGCAGGGCTGGGGAGCCAGGCAGTTGTTGTGGCACAGGTGGGCTGTGGAGTTTTTATAGCATGCTAGTGGGGAACAGGAAGAAAAAGATTGAGAACCCCTGCCCTAGGGTGTGTCTGTGTCAGTCCCTGCTTTGACTGCTTTGTGGTGTAGAAATGCCTGAGCCAGCATTAGCTCCGCTGGCTGGCATCCTATTAGCTGTCTAGCCATGGCAGCACAGAGCTTAGCAGACTAAAGCTGCCTAAGCAGCCACCCAGCTCCTTGGGTAGATTTGCAGCTGGTGTTCAGTGTCTGCAAGTACCCAAACTAGCTAATTTGCAGTGAGCTCAAACTGTATCATCTACAGGACACTGCAGTCACAGTCCGTCGTCGTCCCCCCCCCCCCCCCGTGGTGATCAGGACGTCCTGGCACCTATTGTGGTGACTCCCAGTACTACATCTACCCCAGCTGAGGCTCCAACCCAAGAAATACCAGTGTAGTATGTGCGCTGATGCATTAACCCAGCACTGGGTTAATGGAGGAGCTGTTTAGCCGAAGCCACCAAGATGCCCGTATCAAATGCTTTCTCAGAGTAGTGGTCTCCATGGGGACAAGCTGGCCTCCAGCCCAGAGGCTGGAGGAAAGGCTTCAGTCTAGCAGCCGTGAAGTCCCGGGTGATGATTATGCTTGTAGGATGTGAGGTAAAAGCTGGCACGTTCCCTGCCTCCTTGTAGAGGGATCCAGAGTTCTCCATTGGCAGAGGCAGAAGAGGCTCCCAGCTACTTAAACTCTGTTGAAAAGATCCCACCTCAGTTTTAACTTCCATCCCATGGAGCTGTAAGAGACCAGGAAGAGAAGTTTGCAAACAGCTGCTGTCAGGGACTGAGTGGCCCTGACTTCTGGTCAGCAACAGTCCCAGGCCTGTTCTTGGCAGGATCAGAGTGTTGGCTCTGATGTTCAGGCCAGGCTCCAGGACTGGATTGGAATCACAGGGGACTGCAGATTGGCACTGAGCAACATTGGCAGAGCACTGCATGGAGAGCTTGGGGCTGGGGTCAAGATTAAGGGGCCTCAACAGAGTTGGGGTAGGGGAATGGTCCAGGATTAGCATGCCACAACGACTGAGGAGGGCATGGGCTGAAATTGTGGAGCTGAGGATATGGAGATCTGCCCTCCCCCTGCCCCCAGTGTGGCAATGCTGGTGACATCTTGCCTCATTCTTGTGAGCACTGCAGTGTCACACAGCTTTGCTCAGGTGTCACAGTAGGCATGTGGGCTTCTCTCTCCGCAGGTGGTGTGGCTGAGCTGGGGATGAAGGCAGAAGCCTGACGCCTAGCATCATAGACAGCTTTACACCCACGGGCTCAGGCTGGGTCCCACTGACTGCAGCAGGAGAATCATTGGCGAGAGGAAGCCCCTAGCCATGGGCAGCCACGAGAGGGACCCAGCCTCCCCCAAGAGGGCACCAGCCCCATCCAGGTCCAACAGCACCGTGTCTTCTAAGCATGGCAGCGTTCACCAGGTCTGGTGCTTCCTTTCTGATGTGCCCCCATCACCCTGTTATCAGGCTCTGTCCTGAAAGTGGGGCTGAGAAGGGAACCTTTTTCCCTGAGATCCATGCCAACCTTGGGGTGGGGACAAGAGGAGGAGGAGGAGAAAGGCTGTAGATCTTCTCCCTCGGCAGCTGGGATGACAGCTCTGCCTTCCAAGAGGGATGGACAGTCACAGTGGCAAGGGCATGAGATGCATAAGGATCATTTTAATGCAGTCTAGTAGTGGCCTGGCTTATGTTGCTTGAGAATGGGGCTGGGGGAAAGCTAATGGGGAACAGGCCCCTCCCCTGCCCAAGTGACTGCTCCCCACAGCATTGCAAGGGCAGACCCTGTTGTGTGTCAACCACTGGCATCTCCTGCAGCGGAATAAAGGGAGAGGGGGACTGGGGGAGGAAGATCCTTTAACCCCTGCACTCCCAAACAGTTTCCTGCCCTCTTTGAAAGGTAGCCCATAGCTCCGAGGGTCCAGGGGGCACTTGCAATGAACATGTCTCCATAGAGATGTCCTCCCAGGAGTTGCAGTGCTGAGTGAATTAGGGGATCAACAAAGGGTTTAACAGCCAGGTGCTAGGCTCCTTCCTTTGTTGGCACTTGGGAGGAAAGCAAAGATGCTGGTAAGTGAGATCTGACAGAAGCTCATGCCAGCTAGTCTGTGGAAGGGGCCTGGCCCATTACAGGTGCTGACCCGCAGACTTGGACTCCTGTGTTCCAGGGCTCAGAGAGCTGGGAGATGGTGGACGAGCCACGGGGCAGAAGCGGGCCAGGGCAGGAGCTGGAGAGGCAGGAAGGCTACATGCTGAAGAAGAGGAAGTGGCCTCTGAAGGGTTGGCACAAGGTGAGAGGCTGAAGGGAGTGGGAGGGAATATCCCCCAGAGGTAGATTCTCTACTCTGTCCCCAGCCTCTTGCCCCTCTCAGCCATGTTGCTGCCTCCATGCGGGGCAGGCTAAACCAGTGAAGGCTAGGCCAGTACTTGGATGGGAAACCCCAGAGGGAAGTGGCTGCATGGTTCCAGCAGGGGCACTCTTCCGCCTACACTAGCCCTAAGCTGATGCCTCAGCACGGTCTGAAGGGGATCTGTGCTGCCCACTTTCAGGCTAGGAACCAAAGTGAAGCCCTGTACACAGTCACTTATGATCCCAGGGTTGGTGGATATCTTGCTAACCTTGGGCCATTGACCACCCCCCCCCCCCTTTCCTTGGCTAGATTCCCAGCTTGGGCTCTTACTCAGTCTGTCTCTGAGTCTCTTGCCCCTGCAGCTCCACAAGTATCTGTCACTTTCTGTCCTAAAGTATCATGGACTCTTAAATGGCTTCCATACTCCATCCCAGCCCTGGCTGTGTTTTGCTGCTTGGTGAGCCATCTGTATGCACTGTGGCTGTTAATGGGGTGCCAGTCTGCACCCCAGGGGTGATTGCATTTTGTTGTTCAGCGAGTGAGCCCTGTGCAGTGTGGCTGTTAGCTGTGCTGTCCCCAGAGGTACCTGTGTTCTGCTGCTTCGTGAGTGACCCCCATGCAGTGTGGCTGTTAACTGGGCACTGTGCTCCACTGCACTTTAGTTCTGGGGGAAGCAACTCTTATATGTAGTTCAAGTGCTTGGGGAGAGGGATCCCTTGAATTTGGGGCATGAGCTGGTTTCATGGGTGCAGAGAACCAACAACATGCCTTACTCTGTCAGCTGCATCCTCATGTCCTTCTCTCCTGTATCCCCCAGAGGTACTTTGTGCTGGAGGAGGGGATCCTGAAGTATGCCACCACATGCCAGGATGTGAGTACGGCCCTCATAGGTGTGAACTGATGCCATATTTCAGAGTAGTAGGGGCAGGGCAGGGCTAGGGCTAGTAGGCAGGGCAGGGCTAGTAGGGGCCTGGGTCAGTCTCTCTGGGAAGGTTGGGTTGGGTGGGAGGCCTAAGTGCCCAGAGTCCCGTCTCCTCTAATTGGATGAGTGTCCTGAACCTGTATAACCTCCCGCCCCAGGTCCTCAAGGGAAAGCTGCATGGTTCTATCGATGTCCGTCTGTCTGTCATGTCTGTCAACAAGAAGGCGCAGCGTGTGGACCTGGATACAGAGGAGAACATCTACCACCTCAAGGTGCTGGCCTGGGAGCACCTGCTCTGTCCCTGTGCCCCCTGCCTGGGGGTGCTGGAGAGGTGGGACTTAGGGTGGAGGGGAGTGGGACAGGGTGGGGGGGATCAGGTTTTTGATGGGGTTGGGATCTGGGGAGGAGGTTCATTTGTAAGACATATCTGACCTACGGCCTCCTTACCCCCCATCTCTCACATAGATCAAGTCCCAGGAGCTCTTTAACAGCTGGGTGGCCAAGCTCTGCTCTCATCGCCTGGCTGAGAAGCCAGAGGTGCCCAACTATTCTGCCCCCAAAGTGAGGCTCCCATCATCCCCCTCACAGGTGAGTGCTACTGATCTATGTAGGGAGAGCAAGGTGAGGGAGAGTTTCCCCCATGCACTGCCAGGGTGTGTGTGTGTAGGCAGAGGTGCAGGGGTCCTTCTGTCTTCTTAGGAGGTGGAACCCAGGTGTTCAGGCTTTGTCTTCCAGCCCAACCTGCTCCTGAGAACTCCCTAACCTCCTCGGGTCTTTCCACAGGGCTGTGGCTCCCGGGCCTGGGTCCTGCCATCAGGCAGCACCCCAGCCCTGTCCACCCTGACCAGCCCCAGGGACAAGGTGAGCACCTGGCTGAAGAACAGTGAATGCCTGGAGCGCTGCTCAGCAGGTGAGTGGGGAGTGGCAAGGTTAGGGTGGGGAGGGAGTATCTGATGCTGCCTGTGCTATGAGATGGGCAGCAGGAGGAAACATGGTTAGGTAGCAGGCTGCAGAGCTCCAGTGTGGCTGGGGTTCAGTGTGGATGTGGTGGTCATGCCATATCCCCCTGGCCCATGTGGTATGGGAAGACAGCCCGTGGCACCCATGTGCCCTACCTCATGTGTTCCCCTGCCTCCAAACCCCTTGCCCGGCAGCCCTCCTTCTACTTACCCATCTCTCTGTGACTCCCCACCCTGCCCCAAATCTCAGAGCTCTCTGAGTGCCAGGGGAAGCTGCAGGAGCTGAACAAGATGCTCCAGAGCCTGGAGACATTGCATCGCATCCCGTCTGCGCCTCTTATCTCCAACAGCCAGGTGAGCTGGGGAGCAGGGCCTGTGGGATCAGTTTGATCCCTTGGACAGCTCTGGTTTCATGGGGAGCTGGGCATTGAGGTCACTGTGATCCCTGGCAGCATGGTCAGGAATGGCACCTGGATTGATAATATGTCCCTGTATCACAGAGAGGAATCCTGGGTACCCCAGGTCCCCCGCTATGGGCCTCCTGGAGTGCCGTAGAGGTCAGCCCATTCATGTGGCTGGCATGAGCAGGTGGTCCTCCTAGGCTGCTGGCAGTGAGCGTGCCAGTGGGGACACATCTCTAGTGCCTGTTGATGGGCTGTTGTTAATTAGTGCCAGACTGTATCTAGAGGTGGCTGCGTTTTGCTGCTTGGCAAGCCATCCCTGTGCGCCAGTGGGCAACCCTGGCACTCCTCTGTCCCTCTCCTGCCTTGCCCCCAGCTCTCTTGCTTTTCCTGTCAGGAAGGTTCTCTCATGCTCACTTTATTACAGGGCTCAGTTGGTACAGAGAGGCCCAAGAAAGGAAAACGCACCACCAAGATCTGGTGCACCCAGAGCTTTGCCAAAGATGACACCATTGGCAGGGTGAGTGCAGCCACCAAACACTGCCCTCCCCACCCAGGCAGCTTTGAGAGGAGGGAGGGCACCAGGGCTTGCAGCTTTTCCCAACCCCGTGTGAGCCTCAGCAGCAGGGGAACATCACCAGGGTGCATTTCAGTTGCGTGGGAGGAACCTGTTGTGTGGTGGCACCTGCCTGCCTGCCCTGCAGGTACCCACCTTAAGAAAGGTGACAGGGTGTGCCCAAGAGAGCCTAGACCCCATGCAGGGCAGTGTCAGGATCCAGAGAGCCTCTGACGCTGGCACCATCCCATCAGTCCTGCTGGTCTGACTCAGGGGCAGAGGTCACAAGAACACCTGGCAAGTGCTGAGCTGCCCCCAATCGCCCCCCACTTTGCTCTCTGCCTAGGTGGGCCGCCTGCACGGCTCTGTTCCCAACCTCTCGCGGTACCTGGAGCCATCTCAGAGCCAGCCAGCCTTCAGCCTCCCAGCAGAGTACAACCAGCTGCAGAGGAACTTCTGGGTCCTGGCCCAGAAAGGTGGGTCAGGCTTGGGGTGGAGGGATGGATCGAATGATGAGAGAAGGGGGTCGGGGTGAGCAGGGTCTGGACTGGACCTGTGGCTCCAAGAGCAGCAACTGCCTCACCTGCCTGAGCTGAAGAAGCAGGTACCACTTGGAAGCTCTGGCTGCCTCTACCGTTGTGGCCACTACAAGGAGACAAAGCTCCAGAGTTGATTGGTTCTGGGTTGAGCCTGACCCCGTGCCCTGCTGCCGGTTCCAGTGCATGGGTCCCTCAGCAGCGTGGTGGCTGTGCTGACCACAGAGAGGGATCGCCTCCGGGAGATGCAGCGGGCACTGGACCTGCAACGCTCTGCCACACGCCTGGGCAGCGCCAGGAACTCTACCACACCTGGGGTAAGGGACTGGATGCAAAGAACACCCACTCTCTGATCTCCCTCTCCTACTGCAGGGAGTTCAGAGCTGGTCCTAGTGTGGCCTTTCAGTATAGGTCAGGGTCACTGTACCCTTCAATGTGCAGTGGCCCCCTGCATGGGTTGGGGATGGAGTTTGAAACCCAGGCATTGTGGATCTAATAATATATGGTGGGGAGTCACAGGACACGCGAGCATCCAGGGCCTGAAGGGAGTTGCTCTAGGCCCCGGGTTGGGTCTGTAGTGATTTCAGGCAGCTGCCATTGGATGGTCCTCTCCAAAGTGTTGTGAGTTGGGTGGGTATCAGCCTTGTCCTCTGGGAGCATTCCTCCTACCTCATGTTGGCAGCCCCAGGGGAAGGCAGGGGAGGGCTACCCTGCTCTGTGCTGCCCTGAACATAGCAGCTGCCAAGTTCCCCTCACCCCAGCCAGGATATGGGGCCACACTGCAAGAGTGGAGGCTGGGGTGGGGGGAATGTGTTTTCTCAGCCTCTTCCTTTCTGTGCAGAGCCTGGATCACCAGGAGTGCCTGCGGCGATTCCACTCCCTTTCTCTCTCCTCTGATGCCACCCTGGACTCCTTCACCTCACTTACCCCAGCTGAGGTGAGGCCCCTGGAGTGGGCAGGAGGCAAGCCATCTGATCAGTAGTAATCTGGATCAAATGAAGAGGGGAGCCCAGTGGTGGGACTGCCCTGCTGCTGCATGCTGGGCTGTGCTGACTGGGCATGTGGGTCCCTGGGGATAGAGAGGGTCTGATGTTGAATGAGCATGGAGCAGATCACTCCAGGCTGGGGTCAGGTCCCTGATGGAAGCCTGAAGGCCTGGGTGGTGCACCCGGTGGACGTGGAACTCTTCTTTCAGCCCAAGGGAAGGAACTCTCTGGGCTCCATTGGTCCCACCTAGGAGCAACACAGTTGCCCCTGCACCCATCCCCTAGCCCAGCCCCTACCCTTCTTATAGCCAACCTGGCTGCGCCTGCTTCCACCCCTGCTTCCTCTGGGGAAGAGGCCATGGTGAGGACATGGATCCTGCTCTGCCCCTGCTGCACTGTCAGCAAAGGCTGAAGATGACTATCCTATTTCCTCCCCGCCATATGCACAGCCAGACACCCTGCTGGTGAAGGGACGGGAGCAGCAGCTGTCCAACCGCAGCATTGTCTCGCTGTCCGACTCGCACACAGAGTTCTTCGATGCCTGCGAGGTCTTCCTGTCTGCCAGCTCCTCTGAGAATGAGGTTTGGAGGCTGGGGTATCTGGGGCTGTGGAAGGGACCCAGCTGCAGGGATGTTCAGCTGTAGCCTTGCAGTGCTCAATGCAGTTGCCCCCCTTTGAGCCACCACCCTCTGCTGGCTGGAGTGTGTCAGGCAGGCCCATTGCCTGTCAGCTCCTCTGCATGATGGGGTCTGGTGCTGTGATAGAGTCTGTATCTCATCTCTAACACTGCTGCTGTGTCTGTGGCATTGTGCTCCTGAATCTATTGTGGTCAAAGGCACAGATTATCTCCAGGTGCGAGTGTTGGCCTATGTATACATGCAAACATACAGATGTATGTATACCCAGCCACAGGTATGCACCTGGGTGTGCACACACATGTACTATTATGTCTGTGTGCATACCGCTGCCCTGCTGGTACATGTGTGCATGGGGCAGTGCATCTATGCACACTCAGCTGTGTACACCCCTGGGTATGTATGTACATGCAGCATGTATGTGCACATCAACTGTGCGTGTATGCCCAACAAGCACAACACAGGGTGTACACACATACATGCAAGCTGCCAACATGACTCTCAGAGCTACAGAATGGGGGTGCCCTGGCAGATCCCTCTTCATGGAGTGGGGGGAGGCTGGTTATATTTATTCCAGAATCCCGCTCATTCCTCTGTTTCATTTCTCTTTGTTTTCTCTCTCCTGACCTCCTCTCTGCCCTGGTGTCTTAGCTGGCAGAGAAGCTCCTGCCTCCCTTGTGGCCATTACCCCCAGATCCTCATAGTCACCCCATGGCCCAGTGCCTGTAGCCTTACTTGCTGCTCATCATGAACTGGAGGCCTGACCTTGGATGCTAACAATAACTGTGCTTTGTAACACCCTGACCCTCCTATTCACCACTTGCTGCCCCTACAGCCCCCTCTTCATACTCCCCCAGGACCTTTTCAATCCTCCTGGCCCTCCTGCTCCTGACCTTGGAGCCCCTTTGAATAACACCCACCACCCCTGCCGCAGGCCTGCTCCAGATGGGCTTGGTCCTGTCTTCTTGTGGTCAGTGGGCACCTAACACTGGTGAGACCCACAGAGATCATTGTGCTCACCAGCCTCCCTCAAGAGCATAGAGCTGGGCAATCCTGTGCTCCCCAGCCCTTCCTTCTGTTTTGTGTCTGGGCTTATCTACAGCCCCTCTGTCTGTCTGGGCCTTGACCTGGCCTTGCAGTGGCAGGAAGCTTGTGAGGTCCTGGCTTTGCCCACTTTCTTATGATTCTTCCCCAGTGCCCCCCTCTGCCTCATGGCTGCCCTCTCTCTGCCTCCCAAAACTCCCCCATGCCAGGCCCCTCCCATTCCAGCTCCAAAGGCTTTTGGGTGCTGTGGTAGTGATTCTTAGAGGAGTCCTGTGGGCCCCGGTCATCAGCTGACATCAGACCCAAAATGTTAGAATGGGGCAGTGGCCACATCCAACTTGGAGTCCGATGCAGGGCTCAGTGCCCCCCACTCCTTCCCAGCAGCCTGGGGGGGCCCTCACCAGCTGGCTGGGCCAATGAAACCAACCTGAGGCCACTGCCATGCTGCTGGAGATGAATTCCTCCCAACCCCACCTGTGCCAGGGGCAGGGACAGAGCAGTACTTTCCCACCCCGCACACAGCCTTAGGCCTTTCCCTCCTCTCCCCGCACCCCCAACCTGAGCAGTAGGTGCTATATGCCAGCACCAGCCCCTTGTTTGCCAACCTAGCCTCTGTGATGTTTGTGCCCTTCCAGGCATCAGATGATGAGTCTTGCCTCAGTGAAGCTACCAATAGCATCTCTGAAGACACGGTGGATGCAGGGGGGGCTGGGCGCTTCCATAAAGGTACCAGCCCTGGGGTGGGGTGGGGTGGGGTGGGGAAGAGGGGGGCAGTGCTTGGGGGTGGCATCGGTTGATGGGTGTAGTGAAGGGGCAGGTGGGTTGTGGAGAACTTATGGATGGGCTAGGATGGCCCCTGAGGGGGTGGTGGGCAGTAGCTAGAGCAGTGGGGAAGGGGGCTGGACAGGTGGGTTTGGTGGGTGGAAGGCCCCAGCTTGTGGCTGACTGCAAGTATCTGACCCCAGCAGGGCTGGTTGCTGTGGATGTGCCAGGCACGTCTGAGCCAGGTGGGGGGCCACTGGCATGCCAGCTCCTCTCCCTCCCTATGCTGGCATCTACGGGGGTCCCATGTCGAAGCTGCTTGCCAGCCCCCAACGTCCACTCAGGTGACGTCAGCCTGTGGAATATCCTGCGCAACAACATCGGCAAGGACCTGTCCAAGGTGTCAATGCCGGTGCAGCTCAACGAGCCCCTCAACACCCTGCAGCGCCTCTGTGAGGAGCTTGAATACAGCGCCCTGCTGGATGCCGCCAGCTGCAGCCCCGACCCCTGCGAGCGCCTGGTACCTGCTCTTTGCCGGGACCCCATGCCCCACCAGGGAGGAACTGCCAGTATCCCGCTTGTCCCCCCATGAGTACCTGGTGTCTGTCTCCTGGGACTGTACCCTGAAATGGACAGTCTGGAGGGCCTCGTACCTGCCCCCGTTACCAGGGCCCTGCACCCCACTGCAAAACACAGTACTACAGCCCCCTCCACTCTGAGAGCCTGGTACTTCTCCCATCCCCGGGACCCTAATGTATAAACAGAGCCCCTCTGCCCTGCTTTGGGAGGGCAGACCAGCTGTCTCCCCTGACCAGCTTCGCTCCCTGACAGGCCAGTGCTGGCTGTTCCACAGGAAGGATGCAGGAACCCCATTCTCCTCTGGACTGAGTGAGGATGTTCTTTCCTCACCCTCCCTGGCAGGGTGGTTTGCTCCAGACCTGAAGCATAAGTGTCCTGGGCCTGGCAGGTCCCACCACAGACACTGTCCCCATGACTGTTTCCCATTCCTCCTGGAACTGTGTGGCAGGGAGTTCCAACCATCCATAGCCCTTGCTTCTCAGCTATGCTATGTATACTGCCTGTGAAGGTGGAGCCAGTTCCACCCCCAGTGAGAAGGGCCTAAGGCTGCACCTGCATCCCCACCCTCCTCATGCCTCTTTCCCCATACCTGCCTCTCAGCCCTGCATGCCCTGGGGCCCAAGCCCTACTACTAGATATGAATCAGACCCTGGTGACTTATTCTGTCTTCCTCTAGGTGTATGTGGCTGCCTTTGCTGTGTCTGCCTATGCCTCCACGTACCATCGTGCTGGCAGCAAACCTTTCAACCCTGTCCTGGGTGAGACATACGAGTGTGTGCGGCCAGACAAAGGCTTCCGCTTCATCAGCGAGCAGGTACGCAGCAGTGTGGGAAGTCACCAGGGTGGGAGGCTACACTGCTGGGAAAGTGTGGGGGGTGACATTACTGTCCTTTCCTAGATGGTATTGGAACTGCCTGCTGTTTGCATGTGTTGTGAGCCCTATGCTGCATACAGCCAATGTGGATTTTCTGAGTGACATATTGTGTAGTACCCATTTATGCAGGGCTCTGAGGGGCATAGTGGGGAGGTGTCTGCCCATGATGAGGGGAGTTGGCAGGGGTGGGGTACAGAGCTCTGGCTTAGAGGGTGGAGGTCTCAGGGGAGAGCTGTGTGGGGCTGGTGTGGATGAAGCAAGGTCATACCCTCCTCTTCCTCCTCCCCACAGGTCTGTCACCACCCACCCATCTCTGCCTGTCATGCTGAGTCAGACAACTTCATCTTCTGGCAAGGTGAGACCCCGGAGGACAACAGGGCATCAGGTCAGGTTCAGAACCACCTTGGGAACAGTGACTGGTCCCTGGTGCCCTAGGACTTGGAACCAGGGAGAATCAGGCCTGAGAGAACCACTGGTCAGGCAGGCACCTGCCACACCTCTTTCCTGTCTGCCCAGGTGCTCAGGTTTGGGGCAGAATGGCTCCAGCAGCAACAGTGATTGTCACTTCTCTTTCTCCTCCAGACATGAAGTGGAAAAACAAATTCTGGGGCAAGTCCCTGGAGATCATTCCTGTGGGGACCGTGAATGTCCAGCTGCCCAAGTGAGTGACTCCTGCCAGCCCCACCCCCACCCCCACCATTCCAGTGTTTTGAGAGCACTTCATCCTGTGCCCCTGCCTTCCCTACCCCCAGCAGTGCCCAGCTCCTGCCCACCCTGGTGGTAACACTCTGTCTCTTGCCTGCCGGTGAAGGTTTGGGGATCACTTTGAGTGGAACAAGGTTACATCCTGCATCCACAACATCCTGAGTGGCCAGCGCTGGATCGAGCACTATGGTGAGGTCCTCATCCGCAACACAAAAGACAGCACCTACCACTGCAAGATCACCTTCTGCAAGGTAGGAGGGGTCCCTCCTCCTCCACCTACCCCTACCCCCCACCCCTCCTCTCCATCCCCCCTTCATCCCTGCCCAGGCCCCATCATGGGTCCACTCCTTCCTGGCTCCTTTTCCAGTCCTCCTTTCCTGTTCTCTTTTTTCCCTTCTTCCCATTTTCTTTTTTCATCCCTTGTTCGCTCATTTTTCCTTCCACGCCCCATGGAGTTGCATCTTCCTGCCCTAACCTGCCCTCACTCCCTCTCTGGCAGGCCAGATACTGGGGCTCCAATGTCAACGAGGTCCAGGGAGCTGTGTTCAGCCCCAGCGGAAAGGTGATCCACCGCCTCTTTGGCAAGTGGCATGAGGGGCTGTTCCGTGGCACACCCCCCACCGGCCAGTGCATCTGGAAACCCAGTAAGGATCAGGAGGGGGTGATTGCTCATAGGAAGACTTGGTGTTGTCTGCATGGGAGGGGCCTTCCTAGAGGGACTAATCTGCAGGGCCTGAGACAGGACCCCCACAGTCCCAACCTCGCTCAAGTTGGGGGATAAAGGGGTGCCAATCTCTGCACAAGTGATGCCCTCTCCGAGGAGACAGCAATAGCCTTCACCCTGTCTATTCTTCCTGCATGTGAGACTTTGAGGCCTCCCAGTGGGCGCTCCAGATTCTGCAGCTACTGACGTCCCAGCTTAGTGCCTCACATTGCCCTCCACTGTGGAGGACCATCCTCAGGGGAGCACTGCGGGGATTCGCTGCTTGCTACAAACCCCCTGGGGGACTGGCCAGTGGTGGGTGCTTGGAGATGCTGATCTGGCTTCATGTTGTCTTCACTCGCAGACCCCATGCCCCGGGAGTATGAGAAGAACTATGGCTTCACGCAGTTCGCCTTGGAGCTTAACGAGTTGACGCCAGAGCTCAAACGCTTCCTGCCTTCCACGGACACACGGCTGCGCCCTGACCAGCGGTGAGCGCAGGACTGCTGCATCCCATGCCTGAGACCTCCCAATTTACCCCCACCATAATCCTGCAGCAGTGTTGGGTCAGACTAGGCACATCCTCCAGAGACCTGCGGTGTGTGCATGTGTGAGAATGTAGCTGAGACCCTGAAGTTCATTATGAATGGAGGTGGGGAATGTAACCGAGCCCCTACAGCTCCTTACGATTGTGATTCACCTGTCTCTCAGGTACCTAGAAGAGGGGAATGTGCAAGCAGCAGAGTCCCAAAAGCGCCGAATTGAGCAGCTACAGAGAGACCGACGCAGGGTGATGGAGGAGAACAACATCATCCACCAGGCACGCTTCTTCAGGTACCAGCCTCTGCCCACTAGCCTCCTTCCTATTCCCAGGGATCTGGGGGCACCCCTGCCATCCCAGTCTTCTCTAAAGAGGCAGCACAAGGGACCAGGTGTGAGCAGGTCTGGGAATGGCTCTGAGGGCATCCTCTATCCTGGCTGCCCTGAAACTTGGGCCACTTGGTGGCTTTATGATGGGAAAGGGAGGGACCATGTAGGGCTTTGGCCTGGAAAGTGCAGAACACCTGCACATTGTTTGGGGTGAGTGGGAAGGAGAAGGGGAAGGCCTGGTGTGAATGATTTTGTCTGCTTTTGGGTTGCCCTCTGAGGAGAGTCCTGCCCTTTAGCAGCCAAGATCCCTGACTGCATCCTCCCCTCCCTTCTCACTGGCAGGCGGCAGACAGATTCCAGTGGCAAGGAGTTGTGGGTCAGCAACGGCTCCTACTGGAAGCTGCGGCTGGATCCTGGCTACACCAACTTGGACAGTGCTGTCCTGTGGTAGCCAGCGGTTTCCTGAGGAGCCACCGTGGTCTCTGTGTCCTCTTCTCCCAAACCTGGGTGTGCAGGGACCTGCTGGCAGGGCCTGAGGAACATCCCTGAGGAAAACGAAGCACCAGGTCCCAGCATCTCCCTGCCCTCCAACTGGGATTCCCTGGGATTTTACTGGGCCTCAGCAGCACTCGCCACTGGACGATGAAAGGTGTCCCAGCCCTTCCCAGGTCAACCCGCTGCCTGTACCATCATCACTGCTGTCTGCTGGCCAGGCAGTGCCCTCACTACTGTGGGCTGGCCTTTGACAGTGGACTGTCAAAAGTACTGACTAGTTGCACTTAGCACTGCCCTTCACACCCCCACCTACCTCCCCTCCAGCCAGGGGACACCAGGAGGGTGGGGTAAGGGCAGCTTTCCCTTTCCCCCATTATTTGTATTAATTTCAATCAGCCTCAAAAAAGGGGGTAGAATATGCCCCAACCCCTTGCCTTGGCACCTTGGGAGAACAGGGTCTGAGAGGTGTTTGCAAAGAAAAGGCACTATCCTGGGGGTAGCACTTGTATGACCACAAGGAGGAACCACTCACCAGCCCCCAGGATGGACCTGGTGCCCTGTCTTAATGCTGCGGTTCCCCAGGGAGATCAACGAGCAGAGTTGGCTATGCTACCTCTTTGCTGCTGCCTGGTCCCCACTCCCAAGGAAGGGAAGCATTGCGGTAGTTGGGAGAAGGCGGGGGATTCATGGCTGCTTTGGCCTCTCTTGGTGCTTGTCTTCACTACTGAGATTACTCAAGTCCTGTCTGCAGCTCCATGCCCGTCCCTCATGTCTGGGCAGGGGTGGAGGGTAACTTGAGCTTCCTCTGGGGGGACAGGGAGCAGGGTGGATGCACCACTGTGTAACCACACCCTGCATTCACTGACACTTGTGGGCAGCATCCTAGTACCAGGAGCCTGGCCCTGGCACTGCCTGGCTGCTGGGAGCAGGGCTGCTGGTGGATGGCAGTGTGGCTTCTGCAGCAGGCCCAAGCCTCTCACTCCTGTGGTGTCCCCTCAATGAGCCATGTCCAAGAGGGGACCAAGGTGGCTACCTAAGCGTGTGTGACTGGTCAGCTGCTGCTCTGGCCTGGTGGGCACTAGCTCTCCTGGAATCTGCCACCCACCCTGGAGCCAGGTTCCCATCAGCATCTTGTGGGGGGGGTGTCCCTTTGGTCCCACAGGGCCCAAGGACCTGTTGGTTTCCCAGTGCCTTCTGTCACTCCGTGTGAGGGAATGTGCCAGTGACCAGGATGCTGAGGGACTGCTGTTACAAGGGGAACAACCCCTTCATTCTCTCCCTTGGTGTAGGGCTGGCTCTGGTTCTCTCCTACCCTATGGAGCTCCTTCAACCCCCCACCTTGGGGAGGACCTGGCCCTGTTCCTGTACCCCTCCTGCACACTAACACTGCAGCCTGGCCACCCTTGAGTGAAGCAATAAAGTAGCCCTTTCTTCTCCCCCAACAGGCTTTTGGGGCTGGCTAGCATCAGGGTCGTTTTGTACCCACAGCACCAGGGCCCTGGGGAGTTGTGGGGAAATAAGGTAATGGCCTGCCAGAATGAGGGCTGCTTTGGTGATCACTCTGGGATCACCATGGGGCAGCTCAGGGGCTTGGAGAACCCAGGAGAGGAACGAAGCACTAGTGCTGGTGGGAGGACACGGGGAGATGGTGCCTGATAGAGCAGGAGAGCCTGGGATTCAGCACTTCTGAAGTCAGTGGCTAGTCCAGTGACTTCCCCAGCTGGGAGATGGGTAGTGCTTATGGCTTGCCCCCCATCTACATGCCTGGCTAATGACAGCCTTTAGGGTCAGGCAGTGTGGTGTCAGGGGCTGGCACATTCCCCACCACCTGGAGCATTTGTTTCTTTGGGTCCCTGAATGGGGTTTGGGGGTCCTGGTTCCCCAAGCTCCATTCTCTCCCTGGTGTTTGGGGCTAGAAGCAGGTGGCAAAGAACCCTTGTGGGATTTTTCCCTCAGCAGCAGCTCAGGCCAGTCCCTGTCTGTTAGCCACAGCCCTTAGAGCAGGGGTGAGCACTGGTTTCCCCATCTGCCTTCACGTGCACTCTGTCTCCTTTCATGCCCTCCCTAGCAGGAGAGAGAGGGCCATGCCTGTTGGTTTGGGCACTGGGGCTTTGTGGGGCTGGCCTGCAGGCAGGCAGACCCCTCTGCCCACCCCCAACATGCACCCCCAGGCCCATCTGTGTCGATGGATTTGGCCGTTGTCTGCGTGATGCGCCCCTCACGCTGTGATCAAACATTCCACGTTCTCCAATAAAGGACCCAGGAGAGTCTGGTGTGTCTGGAGAGTCTGCCTTTTTCATTCACAACCCCCTATCCTGCCTACCTTGCTGTGGTGCCTAGGAAATGATCCTTCTGGTCCCCTCAGTGGCTTGGGTCCACATGATCTTTCATGCCTTAGAGTGTGCCCTAGGCTTCACACAGCTGGGTGCAGGGGCTGGCACACAGGGGCCCTGGTTTGTGTCCTGAGGTCAAGGAGGGGAGTGGAAATAGGGGGAAGAGTGATGAGAGGGGGATAAGGCAGCAACGAGAGCCAAGAGGGCTGAAGGGTTACAGCATCTTCCTGCAGTGCCAGGAGCATGAGTGAAAGCCTTCTCCAGACTTGAACCAAAGACTACACCCTGCCATCAACCCTGTGGCCACCCCCAAGACAGCCAACTGCAAGTGGTACCTGCTTGTTCCAGCAGAGGTGTTGGAGATAGGCAGATGTGATGCTGGTCACTGCTCCCTTGCATGCTTTTGGTTATAGAACAGGGCCTGCCCGGATGGATTTTGAACCCGGCTTGGAGCCAGGACACTAGGTTTTGTGCCCTGCTTGGGGAGGGGGATGGGAATGAAGGTTAGTGATTAGAGGACTCACAGGGGAAGCTGGGGCCCATCTTAGCTTTCCTGGCCTATCCCTTCCCTGCTCTGTGCCTCAGTTCTCTTGGGGAGGGCCTTGTGAGCCTCAGTGGGGAAGGACTCCCAGGTCACACATGGCAAAGTTTTGTGCATCATGCACCACTGTGGGCATAAGCATACATGGTTGCAACACAGGTAAACTGCTGAGGCCAGGTGGGGACAGGCTTGTGTGAGGTGTGCTCCCTGCAACCCAACTATTGGCACAGCCTGAAACACTCTGACCAGAGGGGCTCCATGATGTCTGCCACCTCTGCCACACAGCCATGGCCGTGCTTTGCACCAGATATGTGCTTGTAAATGACTACTGATTGTGACACTCAGCACATGCTTTGCCTACAGGCCTGCATGCATGTGTTTGCACATGTCTCTGCCTACAGGTATACTCCAGCAGTAGTCACAAACAGTTTCCACCCCCAGCGCACACTCTGTCTCCCCCATACTCATCTATGCTAGGTATAAATAGGCATATGCACACACATGCATTTGTGCGTGCACACACATGCTGTCCTATACTAGCCCCCATACACACACGCACACTTCTACACTAGCCTCTCCTCCTCTCCCTCCCCCCCCCCCCCCCCCCCCCCCCCCCCCGCTGTTTTGTGCTGTTTCTGACACTGGCAGCATGTACTTGGCCCCCACCAATGCACTGAATTAGCCACAGCTTTACACTTTATTTAAAGAAATTAAGCAAAACGAAAACAACAAAAAAAACCCACATGGAACCTGTACATAATTTTCAATAAATATTTTCAAAAGTAAAATTTCCTTTCTTTAAAAAAAAAAAAAAAATCGACTAACCACCCAAACACTGAGGACCGTCACGGTTCTACACCTACACTTTTTTTTTTTCCTCCTTGGGTTTTTTTGTTGTTGTTGCTGTTTTTTATTTTTTGGAGTGTAAACAGTTTTGGCGATCGGGGTGGGGTGGGGGGGGGGGGGGGGGTGCGTTG